GGTGACCTCCATGCTCGAAAAAAAGTTACACAATACCCGGAAGCGTGAGTGTTGTTCTAAAGCACTCAAATCGCAGTGAAAACAAAAAACGTTCACAATTCTCACGTATAATGATACTGTCATCAGTCCAAAAATAGTTATGTTGAAACCTTGCGAACTCTATGACCTCGATCGACAGCGTAGTAAAATCAGAAACAGGTAATTGTTCCTCGTACGACAAGTTCAAGAAAGTTTTAAAACGGCTCTTTGCGGAGCCAATCAAACCAGCTCTTTCAAGAGCCACCACAAAAAACAAAAGTCTTGGTCTTCGTTTGCTTTGATTCTTTTGTCGTTGTTTTGTTGATGGAAATAATATCCATCTCGTGGATTTCCACGATACACATTGAACGACATATGGCTTGTCCAAAACAGAGTACCTAGATCCTTATATCATTTGACTTTAACTCCGTTTTGACGACGCAAACGTCATAAAAAGTAACTTGCAAGCATGGCCTTAACAACCTTTAGGAATGTTCTCAGTTTCCCGAGTACTTTTGCCCGAATCATCAGCGTTTTGCCCAAAAAATTTCAAAAATATATGAAACTGGAGAGGGAGAGGGGGCTGCAGTCCCCCGCGTCGCTCCGGTCCGTAAGCCCATGCAAATGACTTCCAAAGTTTCAATCTTCAATGCTTAGCCAGCGTCCACACTACGCCGGAGGAATTTTAAAAGGGAGCTTTATTTTTACGGTTAGGCCTACCGTCCACACTGATCCATCACGAAAACGAAGCTTTTCAAACAAGATCTTAGCAAACTGGAAGAATTTGAAAACCTCCGCTTTTCGTTTTCGTGTGGACGAAAAACACTTTAAAAACAGAGTTTTTTGAGAACGATGTAGTCAATTAAGATCATGTGATTTTGCTACGAGAGTTTTCGACAAACACGAATCCAAAAAGGACCGGCGATTGCCCATCTTTTTATGGACGGAAAACATTTCATGAGTTTTCAGAGTGAACGCACTGTTTTCAATTTCCCCCAGTATAGTGTGGACGGGGCCTTAGCCTAAAGTTTAATTTTGAAATGAACGTAACCCACTTAAAATTTCTTAATTTTACTTGGTAAAAATGTAAATAATAATTTATAGATACCTTGGGCTTTGGCACTCTAAATAGTATTTCTCAGCCCTTTTATCGGGATATGAGAGTGTCGTAAATCTCTTGATTGGTGCACTCGATATGATGAAGGGAACATCTGAAACTGTTAATCCACATACAGGTTCTTAATCGAAAGGAGTTCTCTCTGCAGTGATTTATAGACATGGTGCCCAGTAGATGTAGATGTAGACGGTAGATGTTTTCATAAAGAATGAAAATACGTGTACAGCGCTTGTGCTATCCACCCAACACTATCCATTTAAACAGGAAATCTAATGCCGTAAATCATCTCAAGAAATAAGACAAATGACGTTACACACTTATCGATTAAAATTTTAAATCCATACAAACATTCACAAACAGTTACAGTACTGTGAGAGTTTTTCTTAAGTTGCATTAAAAACACTCGATATATATGTCTTCTAGTGTCTTCTCTTTATTAACACTGGGTTGTTTCATGTTAATAGAGGGCTCGGTGCGTTCT